GCGCTGGCTGGTTGAGACAAAACGCAGCCTGGGTGGCATGTGCAGCATTCGTGCCCCAGTGGGAGCGGAAGCTCCCTGTTCTTGTGGCTGTGCGCCGCTGGTGGGGTTGACAAGGGACACACAGCTTGCCGCGCCTCTCGTTTTGAATCACCTGCTTTGCGAAACCTCCACCCCGCTGCCCCACCCTCATCCCCGCTCGACGTCAACCCTGTTTGCTGCCGCCGCGCCAGATCAATGGCAAGTCCGCTAATCTAAACAACTGCCTCAAGAACATTATCTACCGGGAGCTGGCGGGGCGCCCCAACGAGATCCCCAAAGAGGAGGTGCTGGTGGTGTTTGACGCCGACATGTGCGCCAAGAAGCACTTCTTCTGCAAGGTGACCGGGGCGGTTCGTTTTTTTGGAGGGGGGCCGTGTGGGGAAAGAGGCTTCTGGACGGACATGCGGCGGTGCCATGTGTGTGCGCGTGTGCTTTGCAAGTGCATAGGCGCAGATGGTTGTGGGGATGCATCGGCGTGATGCGACCGGCACGATAACGTAAGCATAGAATATCCCCATGGACATGTGCGCGTCACACACACACGCGAACACACACACACACACTCAAACATCCGCATATGCACACACTTACACTCACTCACACATACACATACACACACACACACGCACGCACGCACGCGCACACCAGTACATCACACACATTCACACACGTGCCGTTTCTGACCCTACCAAATCATGCCTTCTTTGTCCATCCCTTAGATCCTGGAGGTGATGGTGGACGACAATGTGGCCCTGTGCCTCTCACCCCAGGCCTTCAGCAACGTCAACCCCGCCACCGACATCTACAACAACACAAACCAGCAGGTCCGGCGGGCGGTTTGCCGGGAGATCATTCAGCAGGCGGCACGCTTGCCCCAGCGTCCTACTGCCTGCCTCAGCGCATGGCGCCGCAGCTTCTGTCGCTTCTGTTGGGTGAATTGACACCATATCACTTTGCCGCCCACCCGTCAGTTTTGGGAGTACGTCCTGCCTGGCTGCGATGCGCTCGGCTACGTGGCCTGCACGGGCACCAACTTCTGCCTGCGCGCCAAGGCGCTCGCCGCAGTCGGCTGGTGCGTCTGGCCAAGCAGGCCGAGGCCAGGGCCGGCTGTCGGGTGGCGCATCGCAGTTGGCTGCGGTCATGCAGCTGCCCGCGGAAACAGCACGCCCGCATCTTCTTGCTGCTATCCGCTCATGCTGTCTGCAGCTCTCCCGTGCTTTCATGCGATGCCAGTCTGACAACCGCATGGCGTCCGCGTGACGACGCGCCATGATGTCATCCCCGCAGGTTCCCCGAGTACTGCATCACTGAGGACTATGCCCTGTCAATGGAGCTCAAGGCCGCCGGCTTCAAGGGGCGATACCTGGCAGAGTACCTGGCGGTGAGGCCGGCCGTTGGGTTGAAGGGTCAGGGTTCGAGAACCGGGTGCTGGGTTGTGTGGAGGGATCCCTGGCGCTCCTTGGTGTGCTGATCCTGAGGTGTGGATGGACTGAGTGCTTCCAATGGTGGGGGCCCGCCAGGCTTGGCAGCAGCGCGGTTGCGCAAGCGCTCATTCCCACGCGACTGTGGCAGGTGGGCGAGGCGCCGGAGGAGCTGCGCAACGTGCTGCGGCAGCGCTCCCGCTGGACCAAGGGCCACATGCAGGCGCGTGATTGCCAGCGCACATGCGCGTGCGTGCGCCATGCGAGCGTGTCGCATGCCGTACTGGTCTTGTTTTGCTTGCACGTGTGCTTACCATAGGGAAACGATATGGGCCTGCCGGGTGCATGGCGGTGGCAGGCAACCATTGGCAGTGCCACCAATTTTGGGACCTGGTTGTGTGGGTGTGCGGGGGCAAGAGCGCACCCGCATCGCCACTGGAGAGCTGCAAAAGGCAGGCATCTCATTGCAAAAAATGAGCGTTCCTTGGACCCTGGAAGGCGCTCAACGCCGGGAGCGCCCGGGGCGAGTAAGGGCTCGTGCCCAACACCAGTCGTTGCAGACCGGCCGCCGCTCGTCCCCACGTGCAGGTGTTCTTCAGCGGCCGCAACCCTCTGTTCCGCTGGAAGTTGCCCCTCCTCCACAAGTGGTGCGCACTGACACGGGCGGTTGCTTCCCCTTTTGGGGCGCCCCCCTGTTTGAAGCGAATCTTTGAGCTTTAAGTGACAAGATTGTGATTGAGACACGCCGCTCGTCCATCACTGATTTTCTTGGCTATTTGCACAGCCAGCAAACAACCTCTGACTTGCCAGCATGATCACCGTGTCGACAATGGTTCACATTCCTGCTGTACGGCATCTATCCTAAATCCTGCCTTGCAAATAATCGTCAAACCTAGGCTGTACCTCAACGGCACCTGGAGCTACTTCTGCACAGTCATCACCACCTGGACCTTCCTGCTGGTACGGGCCACCACAGACGCACGCGTGATGCTCATTTCGGGTGCATCAGCGCTTGCGAATGGCGCAGCTAGTAATGCCTGAACTCTTGCTCTGCAGGATGCCCCCGGCATCCCTGCCCATGTTAAACCTTGCGTTTGCCCTGCTGGACGAGTGTTTCAAAGTGTCAGCATGCAACTGGCCGAGGCAGCGCTTGCCTGCTTTTATGATCCCCTTGTGCATCTGCGCCGCCGACCCCACCCAACCCCACCCTCAAAACCCCCCAATCCCCCCAAACAACCCCGCCCCCCAGGTGCCGTTCCTGTCCCTCATGTTTGACATCCAGCCGGTGCTCTTCACGCGCAACTTTGCGCTGGCCGCCACCATCTACCTGGCGGCAAACTTCCTCGTGAGAGCCGGGGGTCCGTGACAACATTAACGTTGTTGACTTTTTGAGCCAGTGATGCAGTATGGAACCTGTATCCTGGCCTGCATTATGCGCGCAGGCTTGGCCGGCCGCAAGCAAGCCATTGAAGCAAGGCCTCGAATCAGCAAGGGTTGCTTTTGCCGCGCAGCCAACGCGATGTGCCCAACCAAACCGAGCTGCCACCCATGTCTGTTGGACTTCCAAACGAGCCGCTCCCCGTGTCCCTCTGACTTCACCAGGTCATGAACTACTTCCACGTGGCCGACCACATGCGCGGCATTTGGATGGCCAACGTCAGCAACTACCTGCTCAGCTTCACGTACGCAAAGGTGGGCCCAAGCAGCCCGCGGCAGAGACGCGGCCCCTCGCACCCGATCAGCTGAATTCCCTACATACTGTCGCGTGCTGGGTACCGTGGCTGGCTCGGCGCCGCACGCGCCCTTGCTAGCATAGCTTGCCACATGGGCGTAATCCTTTGACCCCCTGCGCGACCTGGCAGTTGCGGGGCATGCCAGCCGCCGCCGGACCATACAACTGCCCCTCCCCCCCGTGTTGCAAGCAGCGCCCCAAAAAGCGCCTCCCCGCTCCCCTCACGCAGGCCATCGTCAACACGCTGCTGTCCAAGGTCCACTTGAAGAAGAAGGCCGGCTTCAAGGTCACCCAGAAGACCCAGGCAGCGGCCAACCCGTCCCTGCAGATCCAGAACGCCTTCATGTCGCGCCTCACGTCCTTCACGCGCCGCTTCAACCAGGCGCAGCTGCCGCAGCTGTACGCGCCCCAGGCGCAGCCGGCGGGTGCGTGGGGGGCGGGGTGCCGCGCGAGCCGGGCGAATTCGAGCGCATCCACACCCCTGGAGACAAAATAAAGTGCTGTGGTGTAGGATCCAGCCACACACGCTGGAAGCAAGCAGACAAAGCACTGGCCTTTCAGCTGCTGGCCAGCAGGTGTGATGCGCCACCGCGCAGCCATCCCTTTGAGAGTGGGTACAACACCCACACTCCGATTGCGGCACACGCCAGCGCGCCGCTTGCAGTCGGCTCGGCCCGCTGACGATCACTGCCACACTTTCGTGCCACCGCAGGCCCCCAGAAGAAGGAGGACGATTGCATCCCAGACAAGCTGGTCATGTTCCTTGCGCTCAACCTGAACATCAACACGCTGGGTGAGCACGCACGACGGCGCGTGTGCACAAATGCAGCCGGTCGAGGCCCCGTCCACACGATACGCGGCAGCTTGAGCGCAAAACAGCGGCTGGTGGGGCTCGCTCGCACGTCGAGCTTCTGCTCCCTGTGCCAACCAGCTGATGCAGGGTCCCTCGCTCTGCTGCTTTCCTCTACGCAGCTCGCCGACCAGCAGCCAAACGCATACCTGCCTGCCCTGCGGCGCCATTGCTCCCCCCCACACACACACACACAAACACACCCGCCTCCTCCGCCGCAGTCCTGGCGCTGCGGCAGATCTATGTCACCAGGACCCTCACGGCCTGGATCGCGCTGCCAGCGTGAGTCAACACGGTCAAACGCGGCTCGCATGCACCGCAGGCGGCCTGTTCACGGCGCCCGCGGCGCGCTCAGGGGTGCCAACCAGCTCCCCGCTATGCTGCAAAAGCCTGCAAAGGAAACTCAGGCTCACGTGTGACCATGGCTTACCTGCCCTGCACCCACGCCTGCCGTTGCCTGCCAGCCGTCTCTCACCGCCAGGGCTTGCTCGCCCTCCACCTTGGCCATGACCCGCTGCATCTGCCCTCCCCTCTCACCCCACCCCCATACACACACACCCAACCCCACCCCCTGGCGTCAAACCCCTCATCCTCACCCCAGGCTGTGGGCCATCTACAACGCTGTGCCCCCGGTGCTGTTCTTCACGTTTGTCCTGGGCTCCACCAAGACGCTCCAGATCACGGCCTTCTGGATGCAGCTGGTCAGCACGCTGTCGGGGACTGGCGCGGTGGTGGCGCTCTGGTTCATCGTCCCGACACAGTAGACGGCGGCGGCGGGCTGCGGCGGATACGGATCGATGGCTCACAGGCGGCTGCTGCTGAGCAAAGGAGTGCTCTTCTAAGTGCTGTCGCTATTTTTCGTGTATATGTTGGTCCATGGGTGATGTTCAGGTTTTTTTAGGCAAAACCCTGGGCAGCATCATTGCTGTCTCAGCCGCTTGCTGTCGTTCAACGCGGAAAACACATTGCAGGCAGCAGGCAAAAACTGCGTCCACTGTCAAATTGCACGGCAGGAATAGTAGGCTCAAAGGAACTTGCGGCGCTGAATGTGTCTGCTTTCCATCATCATTGTGTGCTTCACTGCGACACGTTCAAAAACCATATTCAGGGCTTGTGCCCAAAACAGCTGGACTTGCGTATGGATGTACAGTATGGCGCGTGCATCAAATGAGATCACTATGAGATCACCATATTAGACATCCTTGCTTTGGTAGCTTCCCTCCCTCGACCCAAGGCTTTTGGAGGCCTCGTGGCTAGGCTGCAATCAAGAGCTGGCTACCCAGCTACCTCCACAGGCTCACGCAGTGTAACCTGGACTTACGATGTTTGCAAGCGTTTGCTGCCTTGTTGAGCACAACTAACTAAGATATTTGGGCACCACCTTGAATTGGCTTCCATTTCCAAGACTACCTGCATCATTCCCGGCAGCGCATTCGCATCAGGGCTACAGACATCCACGCGTGTCCCCAGCGCAGCGGGGCAGTGTGAGGCTTACGGGGTGCCACTTGTGTGGCGTGCGGCAGTCTGCTCTCAACTCAAGAGCACAGCTGCAAAAAAGCTTTCCAGTGCAGCAAACAGGATGTCCAGCTCTCATCTCTGTTGATGGCCTTGGCCACTGTCCGCCCACAAGAGCATCAATTGCAGCCGCACGCCCGCGTGCCCCCAGCCCCTCCTACCAAGCGTCAATAGGGCAGTGCTTGGGGGAAGCTGGGGGAGAGGGGGTGTTTCAGGGGTTGAGAGGAGCGGAGCCATCCTCGGCCTCTGGGCGCCGCCCACCCGGGGTTGCTCACCCACATTCTAGGCGCTTGTGCTGCCTGAGCGCCAGTGCCAGCCCCCGCCCAGCTGAGCAACTGCAGGGATGTGGTCCCCCCTGCCTCCTTCCTCCACCCAGCCAACCCAGGCGGCAGCCCACCGAACCATGCCCTCCGCCCTGCCCCATTCCCCTCTCCATCCAACCCACCCGCCCAGTCG